GGGTTTAATTGGCTGTAATCTTTACAGAAGCAGATTGCCAGTCCTTTCTTCCATAGCACTGTTGGGTGGGTTTGGTCTTCCAACTTTTAGGTTAGTACTCCAGCACAAACTGTTTACACCATCCAAGGACATTTGCATCTATCCTAGGGCTCACCTAATTTGTTTCCCTTTCCTAAGGGACCTTGGTTCTATACTGCCTTTTTTCCAGTATTGGAAATAGCTGTTTCATATTTTCCTCCAGTTTTAGTAAAGAAATAGAGAAGTACAGTTTCTCTGCTATGTCTGGAAATATTAAGTGCTATGTTTAAAAAATATTAAATTTTTATATTTCACTTAATTCAGCTTTCCTTTGGGAAGATGTTTAGTATTCTTCCTAATGATTTCACACATTTTTATGTTCTTTGTATAGTTTTTAGTTCTATTGTGACTTATTTTATTTTCTAAATATTTATAGTGATTTTATTTGAAAATATTATTATGTTGATTTTCAGCTAAATGCTTTTAATAAACCTTAAAATTTGTCAGTTGACAGTCTCAGTTTTTCTAAGTAGGTGAACATGTTAGTAAATACTGAACTGTGTCTCTTTATTTTTAGTTTTGATTACCTTATTTCTTTTTGCTGTTATTTTATTGGTCAACACAGAGTTTCCAAAGTGACAACCCATGGACAGAATTCCCCTGAATGTTTGTTTGATCCAAAGATTGCTGCTCAGCAAAGGGTGTTAAAGATACTTAGTTATCAACATATTCAAATCAGTGAAATACACCTAAAATTTTTGACGCTATACTTCTCCTGAAAAGCTCAGCGTTTGGCAAATTTGGACACACACACCCATAAGGCAACAACAGACCAGAGCTTGTAATAGATGACATTTAAGGAGGGTGGGATCTGCTCCATCTCTAGAGGCCATATTCCTATGACCCCTTAAAAGTCTTCACAAAGGCTGGCGTTACTCATTTGTTTTACTCAACTGGAATCTGTAGGTATTTGAGGTTGAGATCTCTGCATTAGGACCTTCAGCACAATGTATAGTAATAATAATAGAAAAAAAAAGAAAAACAATTGCCATGAAGTTGATTCCAACTCATGGTGGCCCTATGCGTGTCAGAGTGGAACTGTGCTCCATAGGGTTTTCAGTGGCAATGTCCTTCAGGAAGCAGATTGCTAGGCCTTTTTTCCAAGGTGCCTCTGGTTGGATTCAAGCCACTAACCTCTCTGTTAGTGGTCAAGCACTTAACCATTTGACCACTGTGATAAAAGATGATCTTGTCTTGTTACTGAACTTAACGAATCCCTTTCACATCTAAATTTAACTTTTGTTTTTAGGATTTTGGAAGAAACCCTTTCATCAAGTTAAAGAATTTCAATTTTACTTTTAGTTTGCTGTGTTTTGATCATAATTTAGGCTAAGCTTTATCAAATACCACTTCAGCATCATGGAAATGATCTTATGTTCTTACCGTATGATTTTATTAACAGAAAATCCTGGTAATAGAAATAAGTAAGGTTGTATATATATATATATAATTGATACTCTTTGCCTATTAAAATGTATTTAATGGGAAAGACAAGTACCCCATTTAATGAGAACTAATTATAAGCAAAGATGTCACTTTGAGGACTAAGGTGCACCTGGTCCAAGCCATGGTATTTTCAATCACCTCATATGCATGTGAAAGCTGGGCAATGAATAAGGAAGACTGAAGAAGAATTGATGCCTTTGAATTATGGTGTTGGCAAAGAATATTGAATACACCATGGATTGCTAGAAGAAGGAACAAATCTGTCTTCGAAGAAGCACAACCAGAATGCTTCATAGAAGCAAGGATGAGGGGCCTTCATCTCACATACTTTGGACATGTTATCAGGAGGGACCAGTCCTTGGCGAAGGACATCATGTTTGGTAAAGTAGAGGGTCAGCAAAAAAGAGGTAGACTCTCAAGGAGATAGATTTACACAGTGGCTGCAACAATGGGCTCAAACATTACAATGATTGTAAGGATGGTGCAGGACCGGGGAGTGTTTCATTCTGTTGTACATAAGGTTGCTATGAGTCAGAATCATTTCGGTGGCACCTAACAACAATAACAATTTTAATTATGTATTGAAAAAATGTCAAATAACTGGCAAGTGAACCTAAATTACAGGAAGACATAGTCTGAAAGACTCTGAACTAAACAAACAAAACAAAAAAAAATCCCTTTGCCGTCAAGATGATTCCAGCTCATAGCAACAACATAGGACAGAGTAGAACTCTCCCATAGGGTTTCCAGGAAGCAGGTGGTAGATTTGAACTGCAGATCTTTTGGTTAGCACTTGAATGCTTAACCACAGTGCCACCAGGGCGCCAAACAATAAGAAGCATGGAATTAAATCTAATATTATTAAACCTCACATATTATACATATATAAAGCTTAGGACCTCATACTAAATCCTTCTCAGTATTTACATAATATGATTATAATAAAGACCATCCTAAAGGTTTTACAAAGACCCAAATAACCATACTATGATGACATTTGTCTTCTATATTGATGATGAGTTGAAAGTAAATACATCTAGAGGTAATGTGGGTACTTTGAAATATTTTAAGAAAGTATTGTGAAGTTTATTCTACAATTAAAAACTAAAGGACAAAAAAAGCTGGCTACAAAAGCTTCTCACGTCATATTGCTCAATAACTCTATAGCAGAAAAGTTAGGGTCAAATAAATGAATGGATAAACAAACTACGGCACATACACACAATGGAATACTATGCAATGATAAAGAACAATGATAAATCTGGGAAACATCTCGCAACATCGCTGAATCTGGAGGGCATTATTCTGAGTGAAATGAGTCAATCACAAAAGGAGAAATACAGTATGAGACCTCTATTATAAAAACTCATGAAAATGTTTACACACGTAAAGAAACAATCTTTAATGGATACAAGGGAGGGGAGAGGTA